GCAACTGGTGTACCAGGCGTACCCGGTAAAACGCCCCCCTGGCCACAGCCGTCAACTGGTCGTCCAGTGTCAGCCGTGGATCCAGGAGGACCCCCAAATTGCGCACCCTCTCCGAGGGGGCCAAAGTTTCGCCCCCTATAGTCAGCGATGGAGTCAGCTGACCATACCTGGGGGCCGGCAACCACAGCCACTCAGTCTTCTCCCCAGCAAGTAGTGAAGGGTGAAATTAAAGCGGTTAAAATACAGAGCCCAACGGACTTGCTTAGAGGATAGCTTCCTCGGGGTCTTTAACATCTCTGGATTCTTATGGTCCATCCACACTTCCAAAGGGATCTTATTATCCTCTAGCAATTGCCTTCATGTCAGAAGAGCTCACCATACAGCATAAGCCTCCCTCTCCCAGATGGCCCAATGCCTCTCAGTATCAGTTAACTTGTGAGACATATAGGCACAGGGCTGCAACTCCCCCTTTTTGTTCCTCTGGAGTAAACCTGCCCCCATTCCAACATCGCTAGCATATGCCTGGATTGTTTCTCTGGGCTACATATGTGTGTGTATATGGGCATATGCATAATTTATTTTATTTATTTATTTTTGTCATATTTATGCAGTGTATATTGAAGGTAGTTACCTTTGAGAGCTGTATGCAATGAAATCTCATTTTAATATATGCTGATCAGTGTACATTTAAAGTGACAATAAAGTTATTATTCTACTCTACTCTACTCTACTCTACTCTACTCTACTCTACTCTACTCTACTCTACTCTACTCTACTCTACTCTACTCTACTCTACTCTACTCTACTCTACTCTACTCTACTCTACTCTACTTATTCTATTCCAGACATGTCAAACACAAGGCCCGGGGGCTGGATGCGGCCTGCAAAGTGGGTTCATGTGGCCCGTGAAGCCATCCTGGAAACAGTGAGGGAATGGCCCCCTCTGCCTTGGCCCTGGCCCTGGCCCAGGCCAGGCAGGAGCCAATGTACAATTTTGTGGTGGCCATCTATGCTGAAACACATTCAGTCTTAGCTTCACAAGGCTGTCTAGAAACAGCGAGGAACCAGGAGAACCTTGAGCAGCAGCCTTGAGGAAGTGGGGCTGGGCTTGGTGCCATGGGTGCTCAAGGGCCAGGCTGGGCATTTGACCTCTGCTGTCCAGGGCTCTGGGCAGCCTGCACCACCATCCAGCCCCTCACCCCCACATGGCCTGAGAGGAACAGTGAGGCTCCTCCAGTGGACCATGCCTTGGCACTTGCCCTGGTCCCACCCCCTTCTGCCAGAGAACCTCAGATCTGTCTCACTGCTGCCCAGGCCCCCACAGACACCCTTGACATGAACAATGTAGAGCTGGCCATGCCCACCCAGTAGGCCACACCCAGTCCATCCACACTCACCCAGTAGGCCGCACCCACCCTGGCAACACCCACCCAGCCCCCGAGGGCAACCGCAATGCTAATGCGGCCCTCAATGAAATTGAGTTTGACACCCCTGTTCTATTCTATTCTATTCTATTCTATTCTATTCTATTCTATTCTATTCTATTCTATTCTATTCTATTCTATTCTATTCTATTCTATTCTATTCTATTCTATTCAAGGCTCATCTCGGTTTAGGCATTTCAAAACTGGCTCTGCAGCAAAGAGCCACTTCAATTTTTCGAAAGCCGCTTGGCATTTGATGGACCAATTTAGTGGCTGACTCAGTTTGGGTTTCACCCCTCCCACTGTCTTGAGCAGGTTGGTGATGGGCAAAGGCTATCTGGGCAAAAGTGGGGATGAATTGCCAATAAAAGTTTGCGAACCCTAGGAAGCTCTGCTGCTGCCTCCTGGTCTGAGGGGCCTCCCACTCCAGAATTGCCTACACCTTACCTTGGTCCATCTCCACTCCATACTTAGAAATGCAATACCCCAAGTAATCTAGGCTGGTCTTGTGAAAGTCACATTAGACAGCTTCACATACAACTGGGTTTTTCACAACTTCTCAAGCACTGCACTCACTAAGCTCATGTGCTCATGTGCTCTTCTATGATATCAGAATGTTATCTAAGTACACCAGCATCCCTTTATACAGGCATTCATGCAGGACTTCATTTATCAGCTGCATAAATATTGCTGGTGTCCATTGTAGCCCAAACAGCATCACCCAAAATTAGTAGCAACCCAAAGGGCAGTTGAATGCATTTTCCATTCATCCCCCTCCTTAATTCTCACTTGGTATTATGCCTCCCTCAAATCCAGCTTGGTGAAAATCTTCCCTTTGGATAAGCAACCCAGCATGTCCCTCATGAAGGGGATGGGGTATATATTTTCCACACATAGTTCAGTCCATGGTAATCCATGTACAGTCTGAGAGACCATCTTTCTTCTCCTTGAAAAGCACAGAAGCAGCCATTCTTCACTTCACTGGCTGGATAAATCCCCTGGCTAAGTTCTTGTTTGTAAACTCCTG